CGCCACGGAGCTACCTGGGAGGAAGAGTCGGACATTCGCGCTCGTTTTCCGGATTTTCAGTTTTGATGTACATATTTCCTTATCTTATGTACATAGTTCATGTATTCAGCTATGTTTTGAATTTTCGAGGACGGAAATTTTGTAAGGAGGGAGGATTGTAATATCCCGATATTTTAATCGGTATAAATTACGTTTAATTCCGATATAATAATATTTATCGTTTATTATTTTCGGAATTAATTAAGTTCAGTCGGAATTACCGAAATTTATTTTCGACGTATCGTTTACGTTCGAAATAATTTTGGTAATTAAGTATTATGTTTAATTAATAGTTAAACATAAAGCTTAGTGATTAATTAAGCTAATTAATCACACATTAGCCCTAAATGCCGAGTCATAAGGCATAGTACCCTAAATTATGCTAAGGCCGTGTATATGTACATGTACTAAATCAATTTGAGTTTACTACCTTTCTTGAGCTTTAAGGATTTAGTTTTCCTCCCCATTTAATTAGAATTATACGTGGAAAAAGGAGATTAAAAGGGGAGGGCTTAGTCATCTTAACTTGATTTATTTTGGAGGCAAATGTCATGGCTTAAGTAAGGCCACACCTCACTTACGTGGGCAACATACTTCTCTCGGCCCATTATATAAAGCAAAAGTTGATCAAATTTTTCTCCACCATTTTTTCCTATAAGCTCAACTACTACTTCCAGCATCTATTAAGCCCCTTCAGCAGCCTTTAATTCAATTAATTTCCTAAGTTTTCTTCCCAAAATCGCACGACAAAAGGGAGAATCACCGCACGGAGTACACTCACGGCAAAGGAAGTCACACCTATTTTCCGATTTCCGTCGACCGATCGGAGAGGTACTTTTTTCTTCAGCTCATGTTCATGATAATTAAGTTATTTCTAGGTTAAGTGTCCGATTAATGGTCGAGAATTTCAGATTAAACCGTGCCTAAGTCGAATATGCCTAAGTAAGATGATCGCCGAACAAGTTTCATTTTCTTCCGGCAACTCTCGAACCATGATCATTTAAATATTCGGTTTAGTCGATTTTATGTTGAGTATGATTAGTTCGTTAAGTATAGATGAAGTATAGTCGCTGAAATGGCCCCAGCCGACGCCCGCGCCTATCGCGCGTGGCCTCGGGTGGCTTTGGGCCGAGGGCTGTTGCCTTCAATTCTAATCATGTTTGTCCGTGTGATTAGTCCTTAAATTATTTCAGTATAATAATCATGTCAAGCAGTTCTGAAGTTGTT